CATTTTGCCCACACAGTGGGTGAAACATTGTCAGGGAAGGATTGCAGTACACTACATTTGTATCTTTACCCATCGTGTCTGTGTTTTACATCATTTCCCTCCACAGTATAAAGTGTAATAGGCAAATAAATTCTACACATTTTTATGAAGGTAAATTATTACTTATCTTTTGTAATACAGGAGAATCTAGGGCTGTTGGCTCCATTATTCCATCCCCTTTCAACATCACTCAAGATGGCAAGCTCACCACAGCCTCCCTCATGTCACAGTATAGGCGCCACCGCTTTCTTCTCCTGTTACATGCCAAGGAGGAAGCGCCACCTTTCCGCATTGCCACGTGCACCGTCAATGTGAGTTGGGAAGAGGGTGTATTATGGCTTCTCTTTCCTTTTTTTACTGTTTGTCTTGTTTTTAGTATCTGTATGACCACCAAGGGGATCATACAGCCTTGGCACTTAAAACATTTATTTAAAACAAAGTAGTGCTCAAATGTTTTAGTCAACTTGATGCTATCATTTGCCAGGTTTTCAACATTTAGCTGAATTACTGTTATCTTATGTAGTTATTGTTTTCGATTTACCGATCTCTTCATTTTTGCACAGTTTGGCTTGTCTGCCATTCATGTCATTTATGCCTGGTGACATATTCTACATTATAGTTATCCTTAAATGGCTTTTTTATGCCCTCTTGAGTCCCATTCTTAAAGGAGTAGCTTCATAAAATAATCCATCATCATCATATTCATTATTGCTGCATTTCTAGTGTTCAGTGTTAAAACAGCACTAGGGTTTTAAAGAGGCAAGAAGAGCAATGCTGAGTCCCAACTCCATTGTTGATGGTAATTTGAATACAAAAATTACATTTTTCATCAGGTTTGGGTTTGGGAGAGGGAGGACCTAGTGAGAGTTGTACTAGCTCAACCTCCTGAAGAAGTGGTGCATCATCAAGAAGACATAGCTGCTACTCTCTCGCAGGTAATTACCTAACTGTAGTTACAGAAGCAAAATTTTCCTCATGGTGTTCCATTTTCAGGTGCATTAGGGAGAGTGAATGTGTATCTCTACTCTGGAAATGCTGATTGCTTTAATTTGCTATACAATAATGTATAAATTTGATTTATTATTATAATAAAAAAGAAACACTGAACCATTTTTTTTTATTTTGAAGAATTTTGGAAAGTCCAAGATTGTTTCATTAAGTTTTAAGATAGTTATAGTTTTTGTTTATCATCTAGCTTTATTCTTTATAAAAAATGTCTTGCATAAAATTACCTTTTGAAACACTGGAAAATCATGATTATTATTACTTTAACAACAGGTTACAAAAGGCATAGCAGTCGTGGATGAAATCAGATACCATGTAAACCCTGACAATACAGTTAATCGTGAAAGGTAAGAAAAGTTATGAATTTCAGATAAGCTTAAAACTTGGCCATAAATTGTATTTAATACTGAAAGTTTATTTTAAATGGCTACACAGTATTTTAAGTCCCTTAAAAAAAATTACTAAACAAACAAAAAAAATCGCTAAGATAAAATTTAATGTTAGCTTTCTGTGCCTTGTAGGGCTGACATGCTGGTCCACATTGTGAATCAGACTGAACAAGTGATGCCTGTACACATGGTACTGAAGAGACTTGATCAGGGATATGCAACACTCACCAATAATTCCAACACATTCTTCATTGAAAATGTCTATGTAAGTTTCTCACTTGAAGACCAAATAATAAAATTTACACATCTCTAATCGAAACTTTGTGACCCAGTCCCTGGACCCATTATGTACCTCTATATCCTTTGACTACCGGCCCCCAACAGAAATGGGGTATTGGTGCATAAGAAAGATGTTAAACTCGACTAATAATACTCTTGTAATATATGAAACATAAAACTTAGTTTTCTTAAGTTTGAGAAACAGTCTTGTATAATTTTATGTCCTTATAACAGAATTTCAAGTCCCCAGTGCTCATTTAAATAAAAATAAATAAGAGCAAAATGGAACATACCTGAAATTTTAGTAACTTGAGCAATACTGTCCTATGTAATTCTTATTATTTTGAAGGCAACTTGTTGTATGCTGTATTTTGTTTTAGCCAGCGTCGATTGAAACGGTTGAAGAAGAGGTGGATGCACGCCTGGCTGGACTCATCGCTCTTATGATTGTACTCTTCATTGGTTTCATCTCCTTCATTGTTGTGTGTTGCTGCCTCAGATACTGGTGAGTCTCTTGTTGTGTTGCTGCCTCAGATACTGGTGAGTCTTTCATTGTTGTGTTGCTGCCTCAGATACTGGTGAGTCTTTCATTGTGTTGCTGCCACATACTAGTGAGACTATTTTAGGTGAACAGTGAATTTATAAGAAAAGTTGTTTGGCTTTTTTTGTGGTGGCATGGTATGTTGTCAACTGTCACCTTTTCATGTACACCTTCATTTTTCTGGAATGTATGTTGCATGAAAGGTAGTTGTCTACTGTATATACAGGATTTTTTCCATGCTTGTGAGAAGCAATTGATCCAACAAGCAGTTGATCATGTCATTGCCCATCTTTAGAGAAGGGGGGACCCCCCCCCCCAAAAAAAAAAAAAAATAAATCACAACTAATCAGCATTTTTAGCCAATTTTGGTTTGGATTTTAAAAATTGCTTTGACTCACCCCAGAGTTACTGTTTATGCTGATTAAAACTTTTAAAACATTTGTATTTAATAATTAAAAAAAAAGAATTTTAGCATTATTCAAGGGCCCTGTTTTCCTTGATTTCCTGTTTTGTGTATAATTTGCCAAACATACTCATTGAAAACTTTCTAACCTTCAATGAAAGCTTTATATTTTTTTTTTTAAAACACACTTGCCATCTCCCCTGAGACAGGGTGACCCCCAAAAAAACAATTTCATTATCATTGACACCTATACCATCTTGCCAGCGGTGCAGAGATGTGACAGTTTAGATGTCACACTAAAGAGGAAATACCCCAAACCTCTCCTTTAGAATGCAGACACTGCACTTCCTGCCTCCAGGACTCGAGTCCAGCAAACAGGAAAATATAAATATTTCCCTTTTAATAATCAATCATATTTTGTATTGTTTTTCTGGGATATTCACTTGAAGTGATCCTCAAACAAATGTGACCACAGGCAAGCATATAGCCATTCAGCAAGGTTGAATGGTACTAAACTTATATACAGGATATTTTCATGTTTGTGGAACAGTAATTAAATCAACAAACCAGTTGTTACTTTATGCGTATTTCCCATTGTTAGCATATAAATTTTTACTATTTTTAGCCAATTTTGGGTGGATTTTCAAAATGGCTTAAAATCACTCTAGGGGTACTATTTTTTTTATGCCAATTAGGAATATGCAGGTAAGCCTAGACAAGCCTGGCCTATGGCTGGGCTCTGGGAGTGGAAAAACTCTTGAAACTCATCAAAGGTATATCAAAAGCAAAGGTAATATGATACAAGGCCCAGTTTTCCCATTGATTTCATCATGTGAAGCCCTGCTAGAGCATACCATATCAGAACTATTCTTGCCTTCAGTGACAGCTGTGGATGTACAGTATATGGATAACAGAAGGAAGTACAAAATGATGGAAAGAATATGTATGCATAAGAGGGAGGTTTGGACATTGTGTGGCTAATTTTAGTATATAAGAAATAGTACATATATAAAATAAGGTGGAATATATTGTATCTCCAAATATTTTTTTTTTTTAATTTTCATGTTGTATATCCTCAGGGTGATGACACAAGCAGATCAGTGAGATCTTTTCAAACGTAACATTGATGAAGATTTTAGGCTTGCATACATTTGTAAACCCCTCTTTGGGTTGACCAGTAAGTAAGTTTGTCTGTCAATATTGGCATTAATTTATAATTATGTTAATAGGAGAAATTTTTTTGTGTCCATTCTGCAAAATATGAAGTCTTTTTTTGGTTATTAATACTGAGTCAAATTATAAATGGGTTACTACCCTATGTCTTCGACAGTTTTCTCGTACAAAAATATCTTGGTCTTCAGACTGTGTCGGATCAATAGGTCTTTGTAATTATGTACAAGGGGAAACGGACATTGCCTCTATAACCCTTAAAACGGTCCCTAACGTTATTACGTTTTTTAACACTTGAAAGTATGTAAAAAAGTAGATCTTTTTGTTTTTCTACATTTGAAAATGTGTAAAAAAACTATGATTACTTTTGTAGCAATACAATGTGAGTAGATCTGCTTGGACCGTTTACGGGTTAAAGTGCATCATAATTTATTATCTGTGCAGTGTTGTAATTTACCTCTAGTAACTAGGAGTCCCAGAGTGATCACTGTTAGGATTCATAGTGTTCCTAGTGTATATTATTGACATAAGGTTAAAAAGACATACACGTCCTTGTTTGTAAAGGCTTCAAATAATTAGATGGAAGCAAACTGCGTTGGATGGACCAAGACTGCGGCGAATGTAGACGGACTTAGGAATGTCATAAAGTGTTGGAGGTTAACTCCCCCGGTTAAAGCAGTGTTATGAAACTGGAAAACTGGGAAAGCCAGTAACAGAACCATTAATGGCAGGAGGGGGATGGAGAGGATACACACCTAAATATGCAACAGGCGTATCTGATAAAGGTGAATGAATAGTCTAAAGCTAAGATGGGAAAAATGACTAGAGCTTATCTCCACATTCTAATAGATAATTATATAGTTCTGGTAATGATTACAAATAGGTAATGTGAAAAAAGATTTTTTAAACACTCCATGGCAAATACTGAATAAATAAATGGGGAGAATGATTTTGTATTTTGATTCAAAAGTGTACATAGACTGAATTGCTTTATTTTCTTGAGTACTTAAGGCAGAAAGTAGGGGGAAAACTTATTCCTGGATAATACTTATGAGATGTTGAAAACCATGAAATGACACTTTGTATCTCTCCTGTTCGTTAATCTGTTTCATGTAATATAAAGTAATTTATTACACAATGCTTGCAAATAGTCTGACTGATCTAACTTTTCTAGGAAACTCAAGATGTACGAAGAACAGGAGCTCACCATGCAAGTGATGAGCGAGTTCGATACAACGCAAGTAAATGTTCCTCCCAACACAAGTAAGGGTCCAAGTGTCACTGTAGATGCAGAATGGACTCCCGAGCGTAGGTCCAGCATTGATTTATCACAGGTAAGAGTTACTGTAGATCATGTGAGGCTTATTAATGGGTCATACAAACAGAGGTGCTTTCCAAAATAGGAACTGAACAGTACCAAAGACTCAATGTGACTATTGATGATTCATGGTATGTTGAATTTATTTTTATCCTAAGCAAATTTGAAATGGAAAGCTTATGAACTGCCTCTATATATAATATTGTACCATCAAACTTAGTAGAGTTAGCAGGATGGTTGTATCAATTCAGCTAATGGGTTCAAAGAGGGAAGATAAAGGAAAGTATATTGATTATGGGCTTTAAAATTGAAAAATTAACCTGCATATTTTTCGATACAATCTTCATATACAGTATACCAATTTTTAATTTATAAATACTTTATTTTAGTTGGCATGGGAGCTAACATTTTCTTGGGAATGACCTTTTCCCAAGTGAATCAGACTTGAGAGGCTGGCACAGTGCTCAGTTGCATTTACTCTCAAATTTTTGTTTGTCGTAATTTTTTATTCACATTTACGGTATATTCTGTGAACAATTTTCCTAATCAGTAATTTGGAAAAAAAAATTAATAATTGAAAGTTATGAATAATGAAAAACTATTAACAGGAATGTTTATGTGCATTGTATTTTTAAATACTACCAGCTGGATGGCCAGAGCAATACATACGCAACTATCCAAAAGTCACATGGAGGTACATTGCGTTCACTACAACTTCGAGGTCTACAGCAGGGCACACTGAAGCTGGGAGAAGATCCTGGAGAAAGCAATGATTATGCTACTCTGGACCATCTGCATCATCCAGCCTCAGCTCAGGGTCCCCGTGTCCCTGGAGTAGAGACTCCCAGGTCACCACTGAATCAGGTAAACTTTCACTGTCATTCAATCGCTGTCTGCCAGGGGCATGCTGACAGTTCAGATGGGTCTCAAAATTGCAACATCCTCACCCCTCCTTTAGAGTGCAGGTACTGTGCTTTCTACCTCCAGTCTGGCTAACCAGTTTCCTTGGGCACCTTCATAAACATTGCCTTGCTCAGACTACAACAGCACTGAACCTATGTAGATCATTCAGTGCATGGAATGGAAGACTGCACTTACTCTTGCTTAGCAGCAAGAGGACTGAAACAGAAGTAGAGGGCTCTGTCAAGATTCATTAGAGGAAAACAGTCGAGACTGATGTGGTCAGAGTAGGTGAGACTATTCCATTTGTGGAATTGGAAGACATTTGAAACTAGCTACATAGTGGTCTATGGAAACTGACCACATTTGAGAGATCACTTGTGGCTTGTCAAGAGCCACAGAAAGCAGCAGGCTTAGAGGAAAAAGCTTGTTGAAACATAAGTGACTGGATGTCAACAGTATTAATGAGTCACATGAAAACAAGGGAAAAAGAATTTTACACTGTCAGAGATTTTTAATAGCCTAAGAGTCAAACTCTTAGGTTATTAAAAGTCTAACAAATGCAAATGTCTTTCTTTATAAACAAATGTAGGCTGTTATAGAGGCGTTGTATTTAAGTATGGAAGAGCCCAGCCTGTTTGTCCATCTATCTCGTAAGCCTGCTTGAATCTGAGATAGGCCTATGAGGGAGGGCCTATGTGCAGGGGGAGCCTGCCTATAAATGTTGTTTAGAAATGTGTATATGTATACTACACAAGTAATGCTGTTGACATAATGCTGTAGAATTAGGATGATTGTACATGAATATTTTTGCTCCGGCAGAAATTGAAATGCATGTGTACTGTGCATTTTTATTGATCTCCACAATATATACAGGCATGCATTACTTAAAACATAAGATCAGGCTTCTAGCAGTATACAAAACAAAATGCAATGTAAATTTGAATAATTTATCTAAATCAAAGAATGGGTGAGGTTTGAACCCATGGCACAGGACAGTTTTAGGACTCTGCCACGAGTTCAATCCTCGCCTATTCCATCATTTGCTTGCAATCGTATTATTAGAATTAATCTGCCTGAAGTGCCCCAGCATGATAGCTTTCTTTGTACCTAGCAAACCAAAATTGTAACCTTTACAAAGAAATAAGATCTTGATCTTTATTACAGTTTCACGAGTAATAACTTAAACATTTTTATATAGAAATACAAAGTATGTGATGCTTTGAAAATATTTAATATTTTTAAATAATTTTTTATTTTCTTTCAGAATGGTGATTACCATGAGCTAAGAACATCTTTCACTGGGTCTACCTTCCAGCCTCCTGACTTGGCTAACAGGCCACTTCCTGATGAACCGACCATCGTTCATCCTAATTCCCGGAATCTTGCATTTAATGCCCAAGGGGAGCCAGTACTAGTAGCAGAGCTAATATAGTCTTAAAATATGGCGATACAACAGTGTAGTGTACAGTATTTTGAAGTGAGAATATTTTTATATATCTCCCTCTTCAGGTGTAGTGGCATTCCCCCCCCCCCCCTTTCCCCCAAAAATTGAAACCGAATCTTTTATAAATCCATACATACTTTTAAACTCCTTTAATATCAGTGTGTTAGTTTAATATGCACCCTACGACCCCATCCCGTGGGCCGGTAGTCCAAAGGATTACAGAGGTACATAATGGGTCCAGGACTGGACCCATTAGATAGCGAAACAAGTTATAGTTTAATTAGTTTAATATGTTTATTATGCACCCCATACCCATCCTGTGGGCGGGGTAGTCAAAAGAATACAGAGGTAACATACTGGGTCCAGGGACGGGGCCTCAAAGATTTGATAGCTGAGGGCCAGTTACAGAGGCATGAATTCCACAATTCACCAAAGGTAATGAACTCACAATTTACAAAGGTAATTAACTCCAGGTAGGTCTAGTCACAATCATTAACAAGTTACAAAGGGTAGTTACAATTACAGAGGTACCCCAATGGGGCCCAGGGACGGACTCACAAAGTTTTGATGGCTGAACTAGGTACAAGGTAATGAACTCACAATAAACAAAGGTAATGAATACTGTAAAATGGTTTTACTTACGTTGTTTATACATGGGCTGCCAATCATGGAACAAATTTTAGAGTAAATGAGCAATTCAAACCTTCCACAACCCGTCACAACTGAGTGATTATTGGGCAAATGTGGATTGCTGAGTCTCTCTCTTCTCACACACACACACACACACACACCCACACACACAAACTCAGACACTCAACGCACACACCCGCATACTCACACACCCTCATACACAACACTCACACTCATACACACACACACTCATACTCACACACACACAGCACACACCCACACACACACACACACCCACACCACACACACACACACACACACATGCACACATGGTGGTAATGCATTATTTACACCTAGCAAAGTCAGGTATTTCTCCAGAATGTTCTTGTAATATACCACTGTGATAAAATACTTAGCCATTTTTGAACACTTTCTGAGTGAGGTTGTTCTAAATTCATTAATTTATCGCAGCTCCAGTACCTAATTGGCAATAGTTTACAATAATCAATGTTTTACCAAGTTTTTGGGGTCCATGCCACATCTTTCAAAAGTGATAGTGAATTGCAAAGCCCAAATAAATTTGGATTTCACAAGTGACTGTTGACAACTTCTAAAAAAAAAAAAAAAAAAAAAAGTATAGATTCCTATACTCCTAAAAGTGTATGGATTTGTAAAAATTAGTTTTTTCTGAGATGTACAGTAGAATTTTTAACTAATCTTAAAGGTGGTGATATTAAAATTTTGTGTTATTTTTTTTTGATTGTAACAAGGGCAATTTAAAATATAAAACTAACAGCAGAACAAATATTCCTAGTCTAACCACAGTTTGAGTGTTCAGTGTACCATACCACATGCAAGTTCATCCCCATATTTAGGTTACACAGTTCATGTGGCAGGTTGCTAAGCTTTTATCAGTTTTAAAAAAACCCTTTCAGGTCCAAGTGGGCCCAAATCTGGAGTCACGCAACCAGTGTCCAAGATTTTAAAAAAAAAAAATTGTTTATTTTTTCTTATGAAGTCGTAGAGAATCTTTTTGTAGAAGGTCTAAAACAAAATAAAAAAAAAAAGTACGAAAATTTGGTGTACAATTGACGAAATTATGCTCTCGCAACGCGAATTTTGATGTGTCAACTGAAGTTACGAATCGGCGATTTTGCCGACTGCTTTTGACTCCCATTTTAGGCCAATTACATTATTCCTAATCAACCAAATTCGGAGCTAATTCACTAGTATTACTTCTGTTCTACGATTGAGCACGAGAATTCGCCGAGTCAACGGTGGTCAACTACAAAAGAAAGTGATCGAAATTGGTTAATTTGGGCCAATTTAACACAAAGTTCAAATATTCAATTTCCAAATAGGGTCCAGAATAACAATATATGTATTACTGGCACTCAACTAACATTTCCTCTGGTCATTAGTTCTGTTTTTGAAGGCTTTACAAATAAATTCCCATTTGATTTTTTATTCACATAAGAATTTTTATTCACACCAAAAAATAGAAAGATGTACTGTTATGCAATACTGTAATAAATTGTATAAATATCATCACCATATTGTGAATGTATATTACCACACCAGCTACGTGTATTAGATTGGTGAGGTCGTTTGTTTACTCCTTGAATTATCGGCAAAAATTAACATTCCGCGCTACTTTGAGCGCAGTTTCAAGCCATTTTCCCAAGGCCTATAACCAATCAAAATCCAGCTCTATTTCTGTAATATGTCTTCCATTCTATCAAATGAGACCAAGAAATCGCAAATACAACGATAAAAAACATACAAAAAATAACACTGCAAAGTTGCGTTTTAAGCAAAAACATGAATTTCATGTTTTTTCTCTCATACACATGTGCTGCAGATCTGTTTTATGTGGTGACCCATACCACAAAGTGTATTCACTCAGATCTAGGGCCCAAATGTACCACTCACAGTTTTACAAGTGAGCTGGCGCATGGCGTAGATCTACGGTTTGGACCCTAAACGTAAAGCCGTAGATCTACGGGACGGGACCCTGAAAGGGTTAACATTCAATGAAAAAGCAGACATTTTCCTCATACCAGCGTATTTTATCCCAACAATCTTCATTCTAACCAGATTGGAAGATGAATTAAGTTTAAAATAGCTGCAGTATATTTTTGACAAGAATGAAGATTGTTAGACTGAAAATGAACAAAATATACAAAAAATGGTTAAGACTCTTGATATATGTATATGATATACATTGTGTTGAATTTAACCCAAAGTGGATGATAATCCTCAGTGTCACTGGTCAACTCTCTCTTATCTGCTTTATATAGCAACCACTGTCTTGTATTGAATTGTGCAAGCAGTAAGAACCTGGTTGATCAGGCCCTGATCCACTGGGAGGCGTAGGCCATGGGACACTGACCCTTGGAATGACCCCCAGGTCGACTCAAGAAAACCTACAGATGGGAGCATATTGTCATAAATGGTGTATGAATAAGATTAACCATAAGCAATACACTGTGTCCCAATTTCTAAATCCGCGAGCAGGGGATTTTGTTTCTGTAATTTCAGTCTTATTTCAGCACAGTGCTGAAATGGCCCATTCAAAGGCCTATAGAGTATACATAGAAGGGGTTTTGGGGTCAATTCCCTCATAGCCCCTGGTCTCCAGAAACCATGTCTCTTGGTTGGGTCGGTTTGATCAACCAGGCGGTTTACTGCTGGCCAATATATATTTATATAGGGCGAGAACTCGCAATTGGAGATCAAAAAAACACAAGACTGGTAGTCTGGAATTCACACCTTCATCTGCAAGTATTCCTTGAACAGATACAAAAGAATAAGAGACGGTATATATTGTCACTAGGAATTGTCCCACTCTTCCTACTCCAATATATATATCATGTTCCATAGTTGTGTGTCCATATTTATGTGTATAGTATTGTAAACTAACAAATTGTCATTGTACAAAGGGAACATTTGTAAAAAATTTTTCTTCCAAGTTAATCAGAAAATGGTGCGGAGAGAATTGTCTTCTATATTGTTTCAAGTAACCAAAATCATCAAACTGAAAAAAAATCTTCAAAGTAATTCCGCTAGGCCTTCCCTTTCGAGCAAATTTAACCTTTGGTAAGTGCCCCCACAATCTTCCCTAATTTTTACACAAAAATCTCTGCATGTTTAATCACTCCACACGTTCCCAAACATGGCCTCATAACCCCTGTAAAAGTACCACTAGCCCTTTGATACATTCCATCTACCTTATCGTCAACATGTCCACTCCCAAGTAATATGAACACATTTACTTCTTCATACTCCCTTCGTTTCTGAACCTTCAATCTTCATTACCCTAAACTTTTACTCTTGTCACCTGCATTTTTCAGTGGTTCCACAAATTTCTTTCCTTTAACCAAAGTGGGTAATTCACACACTTTTCCCAAGTTAAGTTCTCCAACATAATAAAGGTACCATCAAAACTGACAAAAAATGAATTGTTTCCTTATGACTGAAAATGCTTCATTCATCGTAATATTACAATCACCGATGTCCACAGTATCTTATGTGACATTAACAACTGCAGTTTATACTACTGATTGATAATTAAAAGCTATTAATTGGTAAATTATTGAAGTTAAAACTTGAATCCCAAGCATGGGATACAGGTTTTTTGTAAAAATACTAAATTAAACTATTAGTAGACAACATGGCTATTGAAATTATAACCATCTGGTCTGCCAGTGATTACGAGTCCAAGAGAAAGAATGTTGACTAGACCGTGATGGTTGATTGAACTACGTATAAGGAACAATGATCAAAACCAATTGGTAGTACTGCCAAACCAATGTCACTTTACTGAACAATGTTCCTCCAACCAGTGCTGAATGACCCTCATAGGTTTGTCATTTCATAAAATACATACTACGTCAATATACTTTTGTAATTTGATATTCCAAGCTTGCATTCGGCAGTTTGTGTTTTTTCAAAAAAAAGAATAAAGAAAGACCTATTTCTTAGCAAAGTTACAGTTGTAATTGGGTATATAAGACAATGTGGAATAAACTTAATGGGACTGACTCAGGATTGAGCGTTAACCAAGTCATGGACTTAACAATCGACCGAGTATGTGTGTAATAAACTTATCTGCAGCTTGTCTTCATGGCCTATATATGTTGGCATAAGTCCTGTAACATCTTACAGGACCCATCAATAAGAATTACTGCCTTAAACAGATTGCTCCTATTCTATCCAGTATTTGCCTGTTCACTGCTATGGTGCCTAAAATCATTTACCAGCTATTGCTGATCCATGATTACTCATGCATTTAGGCAGTGATGCTTTTTGCATCGTCTACAACCAGTAACCCGTAAACTGGTACTGCAATTATTTCAAGAAGCTCTGAAGCCTTCATAACGTATATAGGAACCTTTGATCCCGGGTATCTCTAACAATCACCTGTAAATAGTAAAGTGGATATTGTATCAAATTTTGCAGTTATAAATAGGTTCTTATATAATATGTCTTTACTAAATGAACACTTATCGTCTTGTCTTCACTTCATTAGTATATATATCATATCATATACAGTATATTAATTTAATTAGCAAGTATGAAACTCGTAATTTTCATAAGTTAGTGAAATGTATATTTAATTTCCATGAAATACAAGATTATTTTTGTTGTATTTAAAAAAAACAAAATAAAAAGTAATAAAAAAAAAAAATAAAAAAAAAAAAAAAAAAAAAAATAGAAAGGAAAAAAAAAAAAAAAAATAGAAAAAAAAAAATAAAAAAAAAAAATACACCACCAATCAAACCCCGCCCCCCCGCCCCCCCCCCCCCGTAACCCACCTCCCCTCCCACCCCCCCCCCCCCGCCAACCGGCGCCCCCTCCCCCCCCCCCCCCCCTCCGCCCCCCCAACCCCGTGCAGTAACCCCCCCCCCCCCCCCACCGCAGGCCCACACCCCCACCCCCCCCCCCCCCCCGCCCCACCCCTCCCCCCCCCCCCCCCCCCCCAACCCCCACCCCCCCCCACACCCCCATCTCCGCCACCCCCCCCACCCCCCGCCTCCCCCCCCCCCCCCCCCCAACCCCCCCACCCCCCCCCCCCCTCCGCCTCCCTCCCCCCGCTCACCCCCTACCCCCCCCCGCCCACCTGCCTTCCCCTCAACCCCCAATATCCTCGCCCCCTCCTCCCCCACACCCACCTCGCCCCCCCTCCAATGCCCCCACCCGCCCCAGCCACCCCACCCCCCCCCCCCAACCACCCCCCTTCCACCTCCCCCTCACCCCCCCCCCGCCCCACCCCTTCCTCACTCCACCCCCCCCCCCCCCCCACTCACCCCACCCCCGCCCCACCCCACCCCCCCCCCCCCCCCCCAGCTCGCCCACCCCCCCCAGTACCCCCCCCCACCCCTCCCCCCTCCCCACCCCCCCCCCGCCCCCCCCCCCCCCGCTCCTCCCTCCTTTCCTGCATTACTACACCGCCTTTGATACCATCTACCTCATATCTCTTTGCTCCGCATCACTGCGCCACATATCATATCTGATATCATCATTTCCTCGCACGCAGTTTTCTCACTTTGCATAAAGTATCACAACGAATGCATTTCCAGCCAACTTTCAAACACCTGATGTATATAATACATTATAGCAGCATAATGACCTAACCCACAGACAAATCATATAGTACCTATGTACGTATCATGAGTTCTACTGCATCGTACCTTGTTCCCTTTATTGTTGACGACAGGTTCTAGTGTGGTATGATCCATACAGTCTAATCACTTTCATGATTCTATTTTTGACATCAGATAATTTACTAATCATGATTTTGTTTATCACATCCTAGCCATCCTAAACGAGCCTTATTTAATTCTATCTGGCCTTTATATTAATTACACTAACAAATGTAGGCAATTAACAAATAACATGTGAAATATAAATTAATCTTGTTTATTTGCCACTGACAGTCCAGACAACTTGCTTCGTAGCAATTCACATTTTTAGATTGAACCAGGGTTTGTTTTTAGCAGTTATTTAGCAACGAATAGAGGTCTTCGGTTGCACGTCTCTACTGCTAATTTTTCTGAACGGACACCTAAGTAAATTGTTGAAGGACACCAGCCTGAAAGCCATACCAGGTTTAAACTGAATAAATGGGTTATAATAAAAAGAATGCTCACCGAGTAACTTTCATTGAGCATAACCCAATTATCTTGCAGGCTCATGACCCTTCACCAGGTGCTGTAGACCCTTAGAGGGTTTACCCTTTTAATTTTTGATAAATAAAAAATCAATGACCCGTAGGATTTAAGAGCTTCCTGCTCGTTGCGCACTACAAAAAAAAATGAAACTGTGGATAAACATTTGTGTCATCAGGCAGTAAAGTATTTACCTTACTGTAGTTACAGTAGCAGTACTATGCTCAATGTTATTCCCTACAGATATGGCATTTTCCCATGAATACAAGATACATGATATTGGGTGTCCCACATTCATTAATTTGCACTAAGTGTTTGAGGTTCGTGTTATTCTGTATGTGCCACAAACATTTTTGGTCTCGACACAGCATCACACTTTCTCTAAATAAAAAAAAAAAAAAAACTTCCTTACCTCTCCTCCACATCCAAGCTTAAGATATGGCGGAAATCATTGGACTGATGGGCTTCCAAAGACATATTCTCTAGCTCAAGGCCCTTGTTCAGGATGGCAGCATGAAGGGCAGGTGTTGAGTGGAGAACCTGTCCAGCACCCTCTACAAGCGAGCTGGCAATGGATAAAAAAAGAAAAAAAAAAAAAAAAAAAACAAAGTGCTTAAGGTCAGTTTTCCCCAAAATTGGCAACATGTTGCAGGGGATTCATGGACTGGCTTCTATGAACTATGCCTCCCAGGAACAGCCCATGGAAAAAAAATCAGCACGATTTGCAGTGTTTAATGGATTTATTCTGTCCATCACAAATGACAGTTATGCAAGATCTTCAGAAAGTTTTAGTGGCTTGTTTAATAATAAAATCCTGTACCGTATAATTCACAACAACTAAACATTCTGAAGCATCAAAATCTCACCCCGACCCCTGAACCTTCCTTGATGAGAGAATCTTAAGGCCAACTACTGCATGTAGAAATATATCTAGTTGGATAAATCTTAACCAGCTGGCTGAGTGGCTTACACACTGGCCTGGAGTTTTAAGACTCTCACGCATGGGCTCAAATCCCACCTGTAATGTATTATTTTGCTATTCGCATTCAGCCTCTCCCGCCTAAACAGAGAGTTCCCATCTTGAGACCCCGGGCATTAACCGCATCATCGCTAAGTGAGAATACTATAATGGTAGTTTGTGTCAACCATCTTTGATATTGTTCCAATGTCACCTTTGCACCATTTAACATTTTTGGTATATTTTTAAGTGTTTATACAGTAGTGTACTGTGAGAGTGGCAGCTGCTTTCAGTGCTCAAGTTGGTTTACAGCTCAGGAAGAAGGAGATAAGGAGGGTAATAGAGAAGCGTGAAGGTAGGAAATCGATTTCGAGTTTCTCCAGGACGTGTGTACTCTCCGTAGTTTTAGTTACGAGGTAAAGGTATCACAGACGCCCCTGCTAATCAAGATAAGAATATTATAATTGTAGGAGATTCTCAGCAAGATATATGGACCATGCGTTTTTGTAAACAGAATAGGAAGGTCACATCAACACTGTGTGCCTCCCAGGAGCGGAGTTGCGACAGTCAGCAGTTTGATAATAATATTCGGTAATTAGAACAAGCCCATTATCTGTCGAGTGCTTGGGGTAATGAACATTGGAAGGGGCAGGAGAAACAGTGCTACAGGTAAGTCAAGTTAGACCATAGAAAGCAGTCAGGTCTAAGGAGGATCCCCATCATATTAGCAGCTTGCCTAGAAAGGGAGTGGGCAATGATGGCTGTCTAGGGCAATTGGTATAAATTGCTGGCGAGACGGTACTGCAAGAACTTGAAATCCCATTCATTATATCTGGGACTAATTCGTATGGCAAACATGAGATGTAAGCAAGGATGGTTCGATCTCCTGGGGCTGGAGTGGTTGCTTAACCAATTCAACTCGGGGGTAATTTGGACGATGACTTGGTCTAGACTTTCAAACTGATAGATTATAGAGGGATGGGTGTTTATGGGAAACAATCAGGCTGCAGCATTAGGGTTGAAAACAGCAGATATCACTGGATACCTCAGGGATATGTTTATAAGACAATATTCAAAATAAAGTTGCTAGTAAGTGCAAAGCAATTTATCAACAAACTGAGATATTAGAGGGCAACGAGTGACTAGCTCCCTTAACCCTTTGAGGGTCGACAGGCCCTCTCCGAGACTTGTTCTCAGGGTCGGCCAAATTATTTTTTCTTATGAAAAGATAGAGAATCTTTTCCCGATCATAATGACACCAAAAGTATGAAATTTGATGGAAAACTTACGGAATTATGCTCTCGTGAAGTTAGCGGTCTTGACAATGTTTACGCAATCAGCGATTTAGCCCACTTTGAGCCCATTTCGGCCCCAATTCCAGTGTCTAGTCGAGAAAGAATCATAACTATGTCTCTAGAACTCCATTTTTTTCCCTATTGAATGAGTTCAAGAAACCACCCATTTACTGATTTCAACTATCCAATACAGTGGGCAGAAGTGTAGCACTTTTGGCAATTCAAAAGGTGGCCAATTTTCCAAATAGGTCCAGAATAAAACAGAAAGACAGCCTGGCACTAAAATAACATTTTTCTTGTTCGTTAGTCATATCCCGAGGCACCTCTTATATTCTTTGGCTACCACTTTCAATTTTTATCTTTACAAAAATAGAAGATTTACTGTTATGCAGACTCTGCTGCATTAGTGTAGAAATGGTATAAATAACTACCAGCGCACATTGTGAAAGAATATTAGACTCACCAGTTGACGTGTGTGGACGCTTAGCATGATTGTTTACTTTTGAAACTTTGGTAAAATTGAACATTCCTGCGCACTTCGACTCATTTTCAAGGTACTTTTCATTGTAAAACAATCAAAAGCTGCGCAAGGGAGGGTAAGATGGAGGCCTGGCTTTTTAGGAGTCACTGAAAAGTATATATATAATACTTGTTATACCTGACAAAACTACAGTGCACAAGTCGCTGGTTTATTCCAAAAACACGGTCAAAGTTTTTTTTTCCTCAATTATGCACTGTGTGCTGCAGGATTTTTTTTATACTGTGCACACTGACCACAGACCCATTCTTTCATATGTATGCCTACCAGCTTTCTCCCACTAGATATGAAGGCGCTAGAATTATAGGCATACTAGTACGTCCAAAAACCCTGGGTCGTAAGCCGTACTAGTACGGACACAGAATCTGTTTGGCTACAGTTTCTCGAGGGTTATGACAAATTAATTTTGGGTGTGATTTATAGGCCCCCCAAACCTTGATAGGGAGTGCAGTAAGCTGTTATGGGACGAAATTCACAAGACTCAGATTATTTCATGTTGCGAATATAATGGAAAGAGTTTTAACTTTAGACAAATTGAACTGGGAACCATGTGACAGGAAATCTTAAGTCTAGTGACTTTCTTGATTGCTTTTTAAAATAGTCTGACAGAACCAACTAGAGGAAACAATCTACTTTACTTGGTTCTTGCCAACAAAAAAAATCACTAAATAATCTTGAGGAAAGCGATCACAAATCACTTAGTTTCAATATATCATGGAATTACCCAGATAATTGCAATCAAATCTGTCCTAGAACTTTCACTTGGCTGATTTCATGGGAACGAAAAATTACCTGGGGGGCCTAATTGGGTTGTCCTGGACGATGGGTCAGGTAGGTGACTTGGTTGCCAATATGAACTTTTTCAGAGATAGTTCCTCCTAGCTGCCCAGACTACTCTTGTTCCGAGCAGGAAATTAATCTACCAAAAATGATCCCAAATGGATGAACAAGAGAATGTAAAACCATCTCATTGGTCAAAAGAGAGGCATATATAGTAATCAAAAGAGGGGATGGGCAGTTAGAAATCAATATATTGCAGTTTCGACAGAGAGAAATAAAAAAAGAATAAGAAAAGCAAAAGGATTACGAGGCTAAGGTCACAAGGGAGACGAAGACTACCCCAAAAGGTTCTTTTCAGGAATACAGAATAAGATTTAGGGACAAGAGGGGCCCACTTAAGAGGATCTCTGGTCATATCACTGATAGTAATAGGGATGTCAGAAATTTTCAATACCTACTTCCTATCAGTTTTCACCCAGGAAAATTACTAGCGATATTCTTGAAGTAATAGATTATGTAGAACAGGACGATAACAAACTATGCACGATTGCGGTAACTAGTGACGTGGTTCTCAGACAAATAGAGAAATTAAAAGCTAAACAAATCCCAGGTTCCTGATGAACTGTTTGCAAGGGTGTTAAAGGAATGTAAATAAGAACTTTGCAAACCTTTGGCTAATCTTTTCAACATATCACTACAAACTGGCATAGTGCCTGATAAGTGGAAAATGGCAAATGTAATACCTATTTACAAAGCAGGTGATAGGGCCTTATCTTCGAACTATAGACCAATAATCCATCCTCCATAGGGGGAAAATTTGTGGAATCAATAATTGCCGAAGCTTTTACAATAGCCATCTTGAAAGGCAAAATTGATTAGTGAATCTCATCACGGTTTTTACAAAGGTTCATTTCTGTCTTAAATATACGAATTTACTAATTTTTTCACTAAGGATGGGTGTTAATGTTGCAGTTTAAAAACTGTAGTGTAAAGCAAACCGTTCTGGCAAACAATGATGGATTGAATGAGGGTGAAGTTTTTCTTTTTTCGGGCCACCCTGCTTGGTGGAATCGGCCGTGTGATAAAAAAATAAAAATTTTCACTAAGGTATTGAGATGTAGATCAAGTATTGAATAGTTATTGTGTATATATAATGGACTACCCCCCCCAGTAAGCTTTCAAATAGAGTTCCACATTATAGGCAATTGGGAAAAAAAAATATGGAATTTTTTTTTCTGGGTAGCGGCATGGTGACAAATAGGCAGCAGACAGTTTGCATAAATGGGGAGAAATCAGAATGGGGGTACATCACAAGTGGTGTTCCACAGGGGTCAGTGTTGGGCCCCTTGTTGTTCACAATTGCTATATAAAACAACAGAAACGGAGGGAAATAAATGTGACAACTAGCAAAATATGCTGAAGACCAACCAAAATAAGGCCGTCCCATTCATTCTAATAGGACATTAGAGAACTCCAGGATGATTTGCATAGACTGATGCAGTGGTCGGAGAAGTGGCAGATGCAGTTTAATATAGACATGCCACATATAAACTAAATAATGTAGATCTTAATATTAAAGATTGCAAAAAGGATTTAGGAGTTCTGGTTAGCAGTAATCTAAAACCAAGACAACAGTGCATACAGTGTTCGCAATAACGCTAACAAATCCCTTGGCTTCATAGCAAGAAGTATAAATAATAGAAGTCCTCAGGTTGTTCTTCAACTCTATATATCTTTGGTTAGGCCTCATTTAGATTATGCCATGCAGTTTTGGTCACTGTATTGCAGAATGGATATAAATGCACTGGAAAACATACAAAGGAGGATGACAAAGTTGATCCCATGTATCAAATCTTCCCCTAGAGGGATACACTGAGGGCCCTGAATCTGCACTCTAGAAAGGCGTAGAATTAGGGAGGATATGATCGAGGTGTATGAATGGAAAACAAGAATTAACAAAGGGGATGTAAATAGCATGCTAAAAATATCTAGCAAACAGGACTCGCAGCAATGGGCATTAAATAGGAAAAAAATCAGATCAGGAAGGAATAGGAAAGCACTGGTTTGGTAAGAGAGTCGTGGATGAGTGGACAAACAACCGAGACTGTCATAGATGCTATGAGGGTGTGGTAAGTTTTAAAAAGAGGTTGGATAAATACACGAGTGTGTGCGAGTGGACCTGACTAGCTTGTGGCTACTAGTCGTGATGCTGTGCTCCTCCCTTAACTGACGTGTCTGACCTCACTAGGTCAAGGCATTGGCTTTAGCCGGTGGGAGAATTGGACCCACCTCGCATAGGCCAGTAGGCCTTTTGCAGTGTTCCTTTTTTATGTTCTAATACTGAAATAACAGAATAGAGAAATCGGCTCTAATATACACTAGGTATGAATACTGGTCAGAACCCTCATAAGTCCGAGACATCGGTAAACGAGTATGTCGCTAAGTGAGGAGAGACTGATTTTGCGAGTCACAACAATTCTTAATTTGAACCATACTCTCTAGGCGAGAAGTTTGCCTCATCAACACTTGGGTCCCTGTTATTATCTGTCTCATACACTGACAAAGCAAGATAATACTTCATGAATCTTAATCTAGATAAAGAAAATAGTTCATCTCGGCAAATATCCTCTGTGTGAACTGCACTATCTCTGTTCTCTGCCTTCCCCATGTACTCCCCTGTACTGTGTGCTATCTTGACTCACCTGTACTTGGAGTAAGGGACGCCCACGATGAAGATAATAACACCTTGGTATGGGATTCTCCATAGCCCGAAGTGGTGATCCCGGGCGTCAGCGTGCCACACTTCCAGTGCCTGAGTGGGTGTGCCAGAGCGAGAACTGTCAATGCCAGATTGGAGAAGTTATCAGGTAGAGGAGTGCCAGTGTGGTGCAGGAATGCTGCAGTCTGTGGTGCACCCCAAAAATCAAGGTAGGGACGCTTCTGTTTGCTGCATGGTTCTTTTGTCGCAAGAATTATAGCTGCCCTCGCCACTCCTAGCATCGTATCTGATTACCGTCCATAAACCCCTCAGGGTTTGTAGGGTTCTTCTAGTCCTGCTAACGGTTGCTGGCTGATCCAGTTTGGCAATATGCCAAAGGAATGATCCAACCTTATACAACCATTGTCATATTCCTTACTGTTTTAAAATCATATTAAGTGGCTAATCAATCCGAAGAAAGTTAAACACCTACAGTTTATTTCCCAAATCATGTTTACAAGTCTGTACTGAACGACCTGTGCGGTTACCCGTCTTAAACCAACCGGGCGTCTCCTACCCGGGAAAAGTCCACAGAAGAAAACTGAGCTCCATTCATTCAATAGCCTGTGTTTCCCAAGTGCACATATGCCAGCTCAAATGACCTTTAGAATTGCAACATCTCAAGCTATCCTTCAAAGTGCAGGCCTTGTAATTTCCTCCTCTAGTCCACATAACCAGTTTCCCTGAATCCCCTCATGTTACCATGCTCACACTCCAACAGCACATCAAATTGAGAAAAAAAAATCCTCCACTCTGAGATAAACACACCTTATTACTGTGATTTAAAAGGTAACAATCATTATGAACAGTTACCTGTGCCAGAATTCTGAAGGCACTGCTGTCTTCAACGTAGTTCATCTTGACCCGGGCCAACCAGACACCTGCACTCTGTTGGGAGATGATTGTTAGATCATTGTACTTGAGTGATATTATATATTGACTAATTTATGTTTAGAGCAAAAGGCAGTTTTCTCGCCCTCTAGAGTCTCCTGCCTTATATTACAAGATATTAGGGAAGTAGCTCACCTGATTGATGGGAATCACGAGACGGAAGGGGTCTGATACATTGAGAGGCCGAGCTCGCTTCAACTCTTCCAATATATTCTCTTCATAGGTCTCTCTCCTCACTCTGGGGAAGACAGAGGAGAGGCTACAAAGGTGGAAGGGAGGAGAAAGATCAAAAGGTGTTAATGGAGAGGTAACCAGAGTACAGAACATTAACATTAACGATCATTCACGGAAATAAGGTCTCTCTAGCCTAGGAATTAAGAGCTGCTCTTCCCTTTTGGTCAAACCTGTCTTCCTCCCTTCCATTCGAGTATAATAACAGGGCTCAAGGAGTGGGAACATGGGAAAATAAAAGGGAATAAGGTATTTAGGAAGTGAGAGCAGGGATTGAGTTGTGAAAAATATGCGAACATATAATAGGGAACAGTAATTAATGAGCAAGTAACGGGGAACAAGACGAGAACATGTAATAAGAGGGTGAAATACAACTAACACAGAAAGGTAGTAGGGATAACAGTAAAAAAAAAAACAATAAGGGAATGAGGAGAGATGAAGACTGGCATGGGAGAAAGGAATGATGGAAGTAAGTTTATTCAGGTATACACAAACAGTTACATAGATTACAACAGAAAACAATATGAAGTTCAACGATGAGAAATTTCAATTACTCAGATATGGTAAACATGAGGAAATTAAATCTTCATCAGAGTACAAAACAAATTCTGGCCACAAAATAGAGCGAAACACCAACGTCAAAGACCTGGGAGTGATTATGTCGGAGGATCTCACCTTCAAGGACCATAACATTGTATCAATCGCATCTGCTAGAAAAATGACAGGATGGATAATGAAACCTTCAAAACTAGGAGGCCAAGCCCATGAATGAACTCTTCAGTCACTTGTTCTATCTAGGCTGGAATAATTGCTGCACTCTAACAGCAGCACCTTCAAAGCAGGTTGAAATTGCCGACCTAGAAAATGTACAGAGAAACTTTCACGGCGCGCATAACGGAGATAAAACACCTCAATACTGGGAGCGCTTGAGGTTATCTAAACCTGTATTCCCGGAACGCAGAGTGGAGAGATTACAGATTATAAACACCTGGAAAATCTAGAGGACTAGTACCGCACTTGCACACGAAAATCCACTCCTACGAAAGCAAAGACTTGGCAGACGAGCACCATCCCCCCCATAAAAGCAGGGGTGTCACTAGCACTTAAGAGACCATACAATAAGTGTCAGGGGCCCGAACTGTTCAACTGCCTCCCAGCACACATAAGGGGGATTACCAACAGACCCCTGGCAGTCTTCAAGCTGGCACTGGACAAGCACCTAAAGTCATTTCCTGATCAGCCGGGCCTGTGGCTCGTATGTTGGTTTTGCGGTGGCAGGCTCAGCAGCACCAGCCTGGTTGATCAGGCGCTGACCACCAGGAGGCCTGGGTCAAGACCGGGCCGCGGGGGCATTGACCCCCGAAACTCTCTCCAGGTAAACTCTCTCCAGGTAAACATAGCAGCGTATGTGTAAAGAACCTAGGATAACCCCCAAAAATCAGACGGTGATTTATTTCCATTGATGGAGAGAAGAAGTCAATGAAAGTCATTTGAGAGAGAAAAAAATAAATTCTTGTATTTGAAAACAAGTGATAAACCCATATGGGGTATAAACCACAGATGGAAAGGAGGATTGATAATGAGGGAAAGGAACCTTAACTCAATGAGAATTTTGGAACCCAGTGCAAGCAACCCTATGTATGCCTGGAGGGGTAACCTTGCCCAATTATACACATGGGGTGACCTGGGGTACTCACGCGGTGAGGTTGAGACGAGTGTGAGGCAGGTGGGAGAGAGGTTTATCCCTGTACCACCTCCCCAGGTCACCACCGGAGTGAGAGCCAGACACACCCCCATGAGAAGTCCTCGACACCTCCGGCAACACCAACTCTCTCTCACCTCGCACAACCTCCGTCTCCATCCAGAAGTCCCAGTCAGCCGTCTGCAGGAGGAGAGAAGAACGATGACAAGGAGGTGTTTGTCAAGTAACAAGCGTTTCGCCCACATAGCGAGCTTTATCGAGTCACAGATCTGCTTCAGACTTGAAAAAACCCACCGTGTGGGCGAAAGGTTGCCTGTAAAAGATCACATTACTGTTCACCAATCCACTGGTGCAACTGGTAGTGCTGCTGTCTCAGTGATGGGTCTTACAGAAATCGAATCGTGCATCAATAACTGGGCCACTGCCTTTCAAACTGAATTATTTGCCACACTCGTTGCACTCAAATGCGTACCTAGTGTATCAAAGGTTTGAAACCTTAATTGAAACCGAATCTTTTATAAATCCATACATACTTTTAAACTCCTTTAATATCAGTGTGTTAGTTTAATATGCACCCTACGACCCCATCCCGTGGGCCGGTAGTCCAAAGGATTACAGAGGTACATAATGGGTCCAGGACTGGACCCATTAGATAGCGAAACAAGTTATAGTTTAATTAGTTTAATATGTTTATTATGCACCCCATACCCATCCTGTGGGCGGGGTAGTCAAAAGAATACAGAGGTAACATACTGGGTCCAGGGACGGGGCCTCAAAGATTTGATAGCTGAGGGCCAGTTACAGAGGCATGAATTCCACAATTCACCAAAGGTAATGAACTCACAATTTACAAAGGTAATGAACTCCAGGTAGGTCTAGTCACAATCATTACAAGTTACAAAGGTATTTACAGATTACAGAGGTACACAATGGTCCAGGGACCGGGCTCCCAAAGTTTTGATGGCTGAACTAGGTACAAGGTAATGAACTCACAAGTTACAAAGGTAATGAATACTGTAAGAATGGTTACTTACGTTTATTACATGGCTGCAATCATGAACAAATTTTAGAGTAATGAGCAATTCACACTTCCACACCCGGTCACAACTGTAGTGAGTTATTGGTGCAAATGTTGATTGCTGAGTCTCTCTCTCTCTCACACACACACACAAAACACACACACACACACAAAACTCATACCACACACGCACACACACTCATACTCACACACACTCATACACACACTCACACTCATACACACACACACTCATACTCACACACACACACACACACCACACACACACACACACACACACACACACACACACACACACACATGCACACATGTGGTAATGCTTTATTTACAGCTAGCAAAGTCAGGTATTTCTCCAGAATGGTCTGTAATATACCACTGTGGATAAAATACTTAGCCATTTCTTGAACACTTCTGAGTGAGTTGTTTCTAAATTCATTATTTTATCGCACTCCAGTACATAATGACGCAGGGTGTGACAATAATCCATCTGGCAAAGTTTACATTTCGTTTGGTCTACATC